TTTTGTCAGCTACGGGTAAGGGGAATGTCCACAGAGAGGAGAAAGCAAATCAGATAAACTGAGTTTATTGCTAATCAGCTGCCAGGATTTATTTTCAAGTTCTAGAAACCAACCAAAACGTCAATTAGAGAGTCATTGTTCTTCACTCAAGAGTCACATCTCCAGGAACACCAAGGTGTATTTATTTTAGGACACAGCAAAGAAAGGCAAGGAAATTGTTGCTAAACAAAATTCCTAAGGCAAATTGAGTCCTTGCCGTCCATCGACAAAACTATTCGGTCATTTCATTTTGCTTTTCCTATTGACTACTTCTGATTGCCAGTTTCTTTCTGGGCACAACAGATTCAACTTTAGTCTAACACAGCAGCTTTTAACAACAAAAAAATCGTCTGTAAGAAAAAAAAGGTGTTTGTTTTCTGTCCCTGTCTTGCATCTCTTCTTACGTAGTACTAACTATTCACCCATTACAACTTCTTTTACACTTAAATAGTTCAGCTAAATGTCCCAAATATCTTACATATCTTTTACTTTATCGTTTCTTTTGAACTTGAATTGGTAACCATTACTGGTACCAGGTCGTTTCTTACACTCAGCAAAGCTTCACTGATAGGCAGAAACGGGCACTGTATTTTCTCCACCTTCCTCTCGATTTTTCTGCTCTCTTCCATTTCTTTATAGTCCTCTTCCTCTTTTACTTTGTTTTACTCTATGATTCTGGCTCATTAGATTTTTCTGAACTATGCGGTGTAGCAGTGAGTGTGTCAGAAAGATGGAAGGGATCTGAAGCTGTCACCAGCAAGAGAAGTAGCTGCTTTTTTTTGTTGGTTTTTTTTTTTTTTTTTTTCTTCCTAGAGCAGGTCCTTTAGCTCTTTTGCATATCTGTAAAGGGCAGGGATGGTGGGGCTCAGCACATGAATCCTTTCCTCCACCTTGGACAGAGAAGGACTGTACCAGGCTTGTAGGAAGGAACAGGCTATATCAGTACAGATTTCTAGAATACAAGTCACTGTTTAATGTAACTAAAAGTCTCTGGAGTTCTGAATAAATGACTACGGATGTGACACTTCTGAGTGGGATTTGTCTCAAAGACAGAAAGAGCTGGAAATTGAGTCCCACATAGTTTTTTCTCCTTTGAAAGGTTAAAGCAAAAGGATTAAGCATGCAACTTATGCTGACATGTTTTTAATTTTGCAGGAGAAAGTCAAATGGACAGATAAGTTTATTTCAGTATTTGAAAATGTAGGGGTGCAGAGGAGGAAAAGAATGCTATCAGATAGAAAAACCCATACCTTTTTCACGTTACAATAGATGTAATGTGAAACTCTTACTTTGGTAAAGCTGCACACACCAGTATTCAGGAAAACAATATTATTTTACTAACATAACATTTCCCTTTGCTCCTTGCAGTTCAGATAGAGAGCAAGCATGACACTGGAAGGGGTTTAACTTGCACACGTGTGTGTTTTAATCTTTGACACACTCAGCCAAGAAGGAGGAGTGCAGTTTTTGCTTATTTCCAGATGTGTGCTAATTGTTGACCTAAAACATACTTGACTTTTCCACTGCATCATAGTGGCACGTATAATACTGTGTATCATGAAGCAGTTCAGCGCTATTTGAGTTGTCAGAATTCTTAAGAGCTTATACCTGAAATTTATCTTCTGTAAACACATATGCTTACCTTAATTTTAAAAAGGGCACAAGGAAGGATAGAATATTTATTTAGCTCCAGGGTGCCATCAGTTTTGATGTTACTGTTTCCAACTTGAATAGATAAAAACTCAGGATTCCTGGAAAGAAAAATCATTAGGAATCCTTTTTTTTCTGCAAACATATTATGAAGTGTCCGTATTTACACTGCTTTATAAAGTAGTTGATTTTTAGGTTGATCTTCATGTGTTACGTACTCTAAATGCTATGAAAAATGCTGACATGTTTACATAACCCACAATATAAATTATAGTAAGAACCTCTCTAGGCTGCATAAGTGTGACTGGTAGGTGTTTCCACCATGGAAGGGATACAGAAGACTGCAAAATCAAAGACCCTGAACTTCAGAAAGAGCCTACTTGAAGTTCAGTTTCTTAGTCACTGAATGGGAAAACAAGCCTTCTCTTGTATGAGACAATTACCACATATGCTTAAATAGAAAATAATCTTTCTTCATCTTTTGTTCTATGGAAATAACGAATTAACTATAGGAGTTATCTACTGATTGGTATCTTGATATAGGTTCAGGACATGATAAAGTTTAATAATGTTTCATTCTGTAATCATTATACTCTGTTACTACCTTTATTCCTTATTAATATGCCTACTTACTAAGAAGGACTTCAAGAATAAAATACTGCATTTTAAATTTTTTTTTTTTATATGAAAAATGTCTTCACAGTATTTATTTCATGAATGTTTTCTTCTTCCTTCTCTACATCTTTCTCTGGCTTTTGTACTTCATAGACTGCCAGCTATTTTGAGCATACGTGTGTCTTTTATGTTGGGGCAGGGGTACATGCTGCACAAATACCATAGCCTGTCAGAAATGTTCCCAGTGATCACAGGTAGTACAAATTAAACGTTTCTAAACTATTTCATCTTTTCAAGTGAGTACCTGTCCAGTAGTAAGATCAAAGTAGATACAAAGCTTTCTTACAGTCACTATACGTGTATGCATACACATGTTGTCATGTATTTCAGGTACTTTTTTTGGTTTAAACTCAAGAATCAGGTCTTTGTTGTATCTGTCATGAACACTGCCTCTCTTCCAAGTCTTCTCTTCCTCATGCCTGCCACATAACTCTAAGTAATTTCTTTCTTTCCATGGAATGGCATTTAGTGATTGCATGTGCCCATTTTATAGCAGCATAAAATATCAGGAGACTTACTTTTGTTCATGATGCTTCAGGAGAACTAACTTTGGTAGCACAGAGGAAGAGAGGTTAACAAAAGGAGCTACAAGCTCCTTCTCCCAAATATGATGTGCAGCTTTATTTTTAAATTGTCATTGGATTCCTCAGGAACACATACACGCATTCCTATTCTGTGTGCATCGGAATCTTTTTATTTATTTGTGGTGTTGTTTTTGATGAAAGAAGACAAAAAAACAAACTAGTATAAGTCAACTTGCACTCTGTTAGTATAAAAACTCATAATACGGAATTATTTTTTTTATTCCATAGAATAAAGCAGTTAAAAGCTGAAGTAAATATTTAAGTATGTAAATAAATCAAAGTGTTTTGCATATTTGACATGTTCACTAATCATGGTTTATACCTGAGCATTCTGGCACATACAAGATCATTGATATTTGATAGTAGTATGTTGTTAAATGGCTAAAATATATAATTCTTACAACCATACACAACAGAATCTATATGATTACCCTAAGTAAAATCAACTTTTAATCGTTTTGATGGTGAACTGAGAACTGAGTGAGTTTGGGAGATTTAACTGGATAACTTTATGGCTGGATAGGGTGCCATGTGTGCAGAGGTAAGAATGTCCTAGACTCAGTTCCTCTGGCTGCCTTCATAGGATACACATTCTGTTTGGTTTGTTCTGTTTTCATCACTGAGGCCTAATAAATGTTTAGATCGCTGAAAATTAGCCTACAACCTCTAACACATTCAATTTTTCCTTTGTTTATCATCATATTGCTCATTAATAAAAAAGAGGAACCAAGGCAAAATATTTTCCAATTTGTGCTTATAATACATGGAACATTTGTTTTAATTGATGAATGTTCTTTATTAAGTTTGGCTTTAACATTTCATTTCTTTCTTTGTTGTCCTGGTTGAATTTTTATGACTGCGTGACTTGAAAAACAGTGACGAATCATGATGGGAAGACATCTGTAGAGATGTCTGCAGAAAAGAAAGTGAGAGGTTGTCATTAGGATCATGCCACATAACCCAAGAAAACGCCTATGTTGCACTCATTCCTCTGGGGCACAGGCAGCCAGACAGAAAGGGGAAGGATTTCTGTGTCACATGCTGCTGGTATAATGAGTATAATAAAGTGTATATGTGTTTGTATAGAGGCTTTCTGAACACATTAAGAAAAAACTGTGATTTTAGCAGTTATTCTATGTGGTGAAACAATGCAAATTTTCCCTTTTTCAGACAATACTCTCAGCATATTGGCAAAGCATAGTGGATTCAGCCGGCAGAAGCAAGAAGTATACCTCCTGCCAATCATAATAAGCGATAGTGGGAATCCTCCCATGAGCAGCACTAGCACTCTCACTATTCGAGTCTGTGGTTGCAGCAGTGATGGTATTGTCCAGTCCTGTAACGTTGAAGCATACGTACTGCCCATTGGACTCAGTATGGGAGCCCTAATTGCAATATTAGCATGCATCATTTTGCTGCTAGGTATGTAATCCTTTCGCAGCCTGGTGTTCAAAGCTTTCCTGGTTCCTGGGTGTCTGTAAGCAAAGAAGTCACACAGAAGCACATGCACTCTAATGCAATGTAATGTGCAGCACTACTGAAACACCTGTCAGGACTGCACCTCTGCTGTTCTAAGAACTGAACAAAGGTATTTAAAGCAAAGCTCCAATCTGAAGTAGTCTTACACACAAGTTACATAATAAAAAGGTATAGAATATGAAACCAAAAATCAAATCAGGTATGTTAAGTAGCAAGGTGAACCCAGTATATACTGCACATGATGGAAAATGGATTTGTTGTATCTTCTAAGACTTGTAGGAGTTTATTCTGGATTGTAATGGCATAAGAGATATTACAGTTTTACAAGATAAGAAGCAGTGTATGTTTTAATAAAACATACAAAATTTGTATACGACATCAAGCGAGTGAGGGAGAGAACAGTGAAGGAAGAGGCCTATTTCTGCGCTTTGCAGCTTCACTTTATAACTGAGATTTATATCAGTAACTGAGATTTCAGCATTAAGCTGCAAAAACAAGTGTAACCAATTTAGAGCTTTTTATGCATCTGTTCATGATTCTGAAACTGATGTATCTAAGCTCTTTCTTCCTCTCTTACTGTCTCATTCTCTTTTTAGTGATATAGTGTGAGTCTGTTGAAATCTTTTAAAAAAAAGACACCAATTTCCTTCTGTCGTCAGGGCCATGTTTTCAGAAAAACACCCTCTAACTTTGGAAAACTCCATCCATAATGTAGGTCATTATAGACTATGTTCAGTGAATGATGATAGCTTGAATTCACCTAGTTTTGTAACTTTTCCAAAGGGAAAAGTTGTCTAAATTTGAGGTTAAAAAATAGAACTATGCCAAATCTTATTGCTTATATGAAATTGAGCTTCAGATGTAAATATGAGGTGATAATAGAAAACTAGAGGACTAACCAGAGCTTCCGATCACATTTTCGTCACCTGAATGGAGTTGAAGTTATAGGTCTTTCAGCTTTTCACTACCCATATTACACTTATTTTCACAAAAAGCAACCTATCACCTTCCACAACTGCACTTAACATGTAGTGCTTTGACTGGAAATTTTTTACCTAATCAGCCTGTGATGCTTTCTTTGCAGTCATTGTGGTGCTGTTTGTAACACTAAGAAGACATAAAAATGAGCCTCTGATCATCAAAGATGACGAAGATGTGAGGGAAAATATTATTCGCTATGATGATGAAGGAGGTGGAGAAGAAGATACAGAAGCTTTTGACATTGCAACTTTGCAAAATCCAGATGGAATTAATGGATTTTTGCCTCGCAAGGATATTAAGCCTGATCTTCAATTTATGCCCAGACAGGGTCTTGCACCTGTTCCTAATGGTGTTGATGTTGATGAATTTATTAATGTAAGGCTTCATGAAGCCGATAATGATCCCACAGCTCCACCATATGACTCTATCCAGATTTATGGCTATGAAGGAAGAGGGTCAGCAGCTGGTTCCCTTAGCTCACTGGAGTCCTCTACATCAGACTCAGATCAGAATTTTGACTACCTCAGTGAATGGGGTCCTCGCTTTAAAAGACTTGGAGAACTTTACTCAGTTGGAGAAAGTGACAAAGAAACTTGACAGTGGATTACAAACTTTTTCACTGTTGACTTAATGATCATGTAATATTCTAGGGCCACTGCTGTTAGTTAAAACTAATGTGGCTTTTTGTTTTAGAGGCAAGTTTAGCGCCAGTCATCTATAAAATCAACTACATTGTAATGTTGAACCAAAAAAAAAAAAGTATATGTTAGGAGGTTAAGTCTTGTGGAGTGTGAAGTAAAGTATGTGGAGTGTCTAGAAGTCTTTGGATATTTGATATTCACTTGACCACTCTGAAGATGGAGATTCAGATCTTTGATTATCTTCAGTGATTTGAAAAGAACAAAAAGAAATTGGTGCTTTCTTAGAAAATGGACTTGCAGGGATTTCACTGTTGAACAGTAGCTCCTGCCAGTATGTGTAAAGCTAATGGTTTATCTCTGGATTGCCAACATAGATCCCGCCACAGAAATGTTAAAAGCAATATCTTGGTCTTCTTAGCAATGCTGGGTAGAAATAGCATTGTAAATTCCTACTGGCTTCTACTGTGCAGTGACCATACATTGTACATACAGTAATTGTCAGCCACGTAACCACAGACTGAATATCATCTTTAAATATGGTGTCAAGCCTTAAAATATTCACATGTTCTTAATCCATTCCAGTGATGGGTAATAAATCCTACTAATGTGCAGAGATTCAGAGGCAGGGCTACAAAACCTTGCTTTACAAAAGGATCTTTTTCTAGAAGAAGGATCAATCCTGTGCTTCGTCTTCTGAAAGGAAAGAAAAAACTGTGAAAAGGGATGGACTGACATATATGAAAGAATTGCTGATTTTATTGCTAAAGATCAAATTTATTTGTTTAATCTTTGAAATAAATATTTTATTGATGTCCATTACGGCTTTTATTTATTAAGACTGATAATCTATAGAGTAAGACTATGAAGAAAACTAAATTATATCCATTAGATTTTTTCTATATATAACAAATGTTTAATACATGTACATTTTGAAAAGAAAAATGACAAATTGTTGCAGGTTAAAGCAGTAACCTATTCATTTGCAGTAGCTGAATTTTAAGAGAATGCTGGCAGGAATAAAACTTTCCCAGAGAAAACTTTTGACAGTTTTATATCTTCTTCATAAATCCTAGTACCTGGTGTTTTTAATACAAGCACAAACAGCTGGAAGTAAACTGGTTCATGTGAATATTTAAACTATAGACTTTTAGAAATCCACACATAACACAGTACAGTAAAAAACATGCTTATAGTTCTCCACTGTATTAGAGCAGGAACCAGTGTGTACATAATTTTATTGTTTATGTTATTAGCATTTCTTTTCTATAATATTCGTAGTGATGCACCAGGGCTCTTGCACACAGAGAAAGAACACCACTAGAAGCTGCAAGCATACTCAATTTGTAATGCAAACTTGCCATTTAGAAGTAGCAATTGTATAATAAAACTATGTATTACATGCAAATCATTTTAATTTTCTACTTTGTTTTGAAGCTATATTATTGTTTGTTTATTTACTCCATGTATTGTATTCAGAGAAACTACTGTATTGTTTCCTACTTTGTGAAATATATTTTTATAAATACTTTTCTTGTTATTGCTTTTCTTCCAGTTTTACTTGTACAGTGCAGGAAGGAACCTGTCTGAATAACTTCATAGTTTTTTGAGGACTGTAGTTGCTACAAAATCATTTATTTATTAGTTGAATAGAGTCAAAATTTTAAAAGGATAAAATTTGAAGCATTTTTTGACAGTGTTTACAAAATTAGATGTGCAGAAGCCTGTGACCACAATAGTTATGTGTGTCTAATTCACTCTCCATGCTGAAAAATAACCTCACGCTTTTTTTTGTTATAGTCTTGCTGGTAAAAACAATCCTCTCTCTTTAAGCTCCGCAGTAATGTTTAATTTACAAACAAAGATGTCTTAATGCATCACCTCCAATTTTGCCTCTCTTGCAAAACAGAAACACTTTGCTTTAGCTGCAGCATGGCTGGTTTTAATGACTGTAGTTTCCGGACAACTGATACACTCACACCACTTCTAAATGTCTTACAAAGATTTTATCAAAATTAGTGAAGTAGCCAATTCATTTAAGTTACACTGCGTTATTGCATTAAAAAAAAAAAAAAAATCCTCTGAATAACTTTATCTAGCAATTTTGGTAATGCTATAAACTAAACAGTGAAGTCATCTAAAGATAGAAAATAAGCAGTCATCAAGATTTCAACAAAATCTAAGATATTTATGTAACAGACTGTGATAACAGCCAAACACATTCTTGCTAATCACTTGCACCAAGAGCCAGGGTGTTCTGAGTTGCCATGCCAAATATCATAGTAGTGCAAATGGAAAAGTGTGATTCAAAACTCAGACTGAGCCAGTTTCTAGTCTCCATCCCACTCCTAGGAGCAAAGGAAGGTGCTGTGAGATATGGATCAAATTATTGTCTATAGTCACATAAGCGTTTAGGGCAAGAAGCTCCGACTATGAGTTATAGTATATACTGCAGAGTTTTGCAAAGCTCTTTTGTAGGAAAACTCACAAATGGATAACCTTCTGATTGCCTTTTTGATTGAAAGTTCCATCTGAGACTACGACAGCACATTCAGTAATAAGATTTCCAGGAAAAAAATCCCATCACTGGCACTGTTGGAGAGGCAACGCATGACAGAAATCTCATCATTGTCAGTCAAAAAGAGATGGTAGCTACTACTGGTGGGCATAGCTGTAAATTGTGTATTTATACAGTTTTAGACATGAATATCTACAATGTAAAGGAGGAGAAAAAAAAAAATGAATTTGTGATCTGTCAATAGCGATATGCTATTTCTTGAAGTCGTTGCTACCCCATCAAAAGGAAATGATTCATTCTGCTAACTAATTCTGTGTAATTTGAATATAAAATTTATACCAATACATGTTGGTGGGTTAAATGTTGATCATTCAGTTTTCCAGTACTTGCTTCTTTTTTGACAATGAAATTAATTCAGTATAAAATTGTTTGGATAACAACGGTATTTAGAGGGATTAGAATCATATCATTCTACATTTCACATCTGGATTTAGACATATTAGCGACATTCTTTTTAAGCATGTAAAATGCTAATTCATCTTTTTCAACAACATTTAATTAGCAATTGACTCATTGTAAGTGACAAGGAAAATGCATTAAATTATAATTATTAATACTGATAAATTTGAGAATTAAATTCTCAAAATCTTTTACAAGTGTCAAGTGCCTCAGAATCCCATTGATTCCAGCTTGCCTTCACCTAACAATGCCTCACATTCATTTGTCAGAACTGCTAAAGTAAATCATCCCATACATAAAAGCTGGAATTCTAAATTTTTGGCCTGGACATTGTCCAGAGGCAAAATTCAGCTCAGTCATTTCAATATACAAGTACTGTGAAGTGGATGTATGTACATGTTTACTAATTATAATTCAGGTGACTAAAGATCTTCAACATATTCTGTCCTTTACAGTAACTGAAAGCGTATGCCATTTGTGTGCTCCGACTTTGAAATGAAATCATGGAAAGCTCATTTAGACACAATACATTTTTCACCTGGTATCATTTATACCTTTTTATCTATGATGAATTTGAAATGACTGAAATCTACAGGAGAGAAAATGGCTGAAGATTTTCATTTAAATCAGCAGTTGCTGATCACAGGAGAAACATTTAACACTATGGCAACTCCAAATACCATCAACTATGTTGCAGCACAGCAGTAACAATTCTCAATCTGGAGAACAGACAGAATGTCTGCCAAATAGTATGTTCAAAATAACTTCATTTGTGCAGCTCTGCTAGAGATGAATCTGCTGGTTTTAATATACAGGAAAAAACAAATCAACTATACTATATCCATGCAGTTGCATGTACCTGCACGTGTGTGTGGCAAATTTTTTAACAGCCTGCACGGTCATTGAATTCTAGAAATTGAGAAAAAGGTTTAGAAAGTTTCTCCGAGGTCTGTCCAGCTGTATGAAACCTTGGCAGGTAGTCTGTTTTCCTTATCTGATTTTCTTGGGATATCATTTCAGTCTTAATTGAGCTATTTGACTGCTTCTCTCCTTTTACCTGGCCCGCACTTCACCAGTTCGTCTATCCTGAGCTACAATACTGTGAACATAATGGTAAGAAGTAAGTTCATTAAGACCACATAGCTCTTTTTCAGCTGATTTCAGCTGCTATGTTCAGTGACTGGAAACAAACAGGTAGGCCAGGACAGTTCTGTTCACTATGATTTCTTACTTCTCTCTTATTATCCTATCTGTATTTAAAAAAAAAAACAAAAACAAAAACAAAACAACTGTATGCAAGTGGCTTACTCTTCAGATGCAGTCAGAGGACTGTATTGTGCTTAAATAAGTTCAAGTGCTGCATAAAAAATTAAAAAGCATGACCAGAAGCAATACAAAAACCTATCATAGGAAGACACAGTGAACAGTCTGAGTTACTTATACCAAAGAACTCTTTCTGTATTTTAAATTACGTTGAAAAATCTAGAGCCAATGATGGTTCTTTTTACTTAATAGAAAGAGTGCTCGGTAGCAACACACATTCACAGTATTTCTGATGAAGAGAAGTGAAAAAAAGTTACTAAAAATATGTATTTTTCAGATTTGGAAATTTTTTAGCCATGGCAGGATGTCCTAGGAAGTTAAAGCTTAGTAAAAGGAAAAAAAAAAAAAAACCAAAACGGTAAGAGTATTCACCGTTATAAGAGTTTGCTTTCAGAATGCAGCAGGTGTCATATGCAGCAGATAGAGAGTACTGATGGAGTGAGCACTGGAAGCTTTCTGCAGTCTATCGTTCAGATAAGTTGGACTTGTATTATTTCTACATTTGTACACTATTTGTGCAAGATAATATTCTGGCTTTGCAGAAGGTGGAAACCAATTTAACTTGCTGTATAATTCACTGTGATGGGTTTTGTAATCACACTGCAAAATGAGTCTAGCTGCTGTATTATACAATACTGATACTGCCTTATGTGCTGCAGAGCTAGTCCCTCTCCAAATAATGTCATACTATTCTAAATGAGAAAATATAAAAGCCCTGACAATGCCTTTTGTGCAACTGCAACTAAGACATCTTCCAAAATGGCTAATAAAAGCAAGCTGAAGCACAGAGTTTCTGGCAGAGCCTTGTAAATGTGCTCATTAGCATTGCAACACAACTATTCCTTCTTTTTTCTCCTCCTGCCCACACCCCTCCTTGCAAAAGTTAAACCAGTGAAATGAACAAAATGAAAATTTCAGCCTTCTCTTCAGAGGGGATATGTAATAATTTACAAAATTCCCTTTCTTCTCCTTCCACTATTTCAGATGCTTGCTCGAATGAAGTCTGTGTGATGATGACAGGCAGATAGAAGAGATGAGTAGAGGTTACCTGTTTCATTACATGAATGGAGAAAGCATTTATGCCATGAGGGCAGTAGTACTCTCTCTTCTGAGCCTTGTCAAAATAAAAATCTCGCAGATGTTCCTCTAGGGAGTTCTCATCATGCCACATATATCCAAGGAAAGATCCTCCTATATGTATGCAAAATAGAACTGTTCTTTTTCTGCATGCTCCCAGCGAACCGGTACTGGCATCTCAAATTCCTATTCATCACATGAACAAGGGCCAGCTGTTCTGTGGTAGATACCTAGACACAGACTTACTCCATGGTGCTTATGAACACATAGATTTGTTTCTTTATTGATGTGGAAATGTTCTGTTTTGTGAAGTTTGGAATAAACAGCCAGGAAGACAGAACACAAGTAGCTTAGATAACTGACAGTGAAAGGATGGATGATTCTGCAATGGGTCCCCATTTTGTATCTTACTTGAGTCTTTGTATTGTCTAAGTCTAGCCTTGATTTTTTACCTTCAAAATATTTTTTAACAGCAAAAAAGTCACGTCCCTACTCTTCATAACAGCTTGGGTTTAGAATTATAAAACAGGTCTTATATTTGGGGTGGGGAGTGGAAGTCTTGTCATTTCTTCCTTTGTTAATGGAACTTTCACTGATGGCAACATTGACATAGTTCATTCTGCCAAATTTCACAAGCCAGCAGCTTTAACAATATGAAAACAAAAGCTGTGTGTTTTTTCAAACTGAACTATGATTTATATAATTGGAAGCAATGCAAAACCAGCTGAATCACCTTTAAAATAAACTCCAACAGTCCCACATTTCCAGCCACAGGTGTGATCACTTTTGGATTTCTTTTCAAATACACTGGTATAGCTGTGCTCACATGTGGTTGGTATGAGTTTTACACACAAGGGAATACCTCAGTCTCTTTAGGCATTGCTGAGGAATAAGTTTCCTATATTTTATCAAAAAAGTATGTCATGACTTAAACCTATGGACAAGGGAAGAACAGGTTTTTATACTCAAAAACACATGCGCAAGTAGAATCCCGAACTGAATTCAAAGTCCTGGTCCAGTGTCTCAGCAGTGAGATACAGGCAAGTGGACAGCTGATTAGAGGTAAGTAACCGATTATTTCGGCAATACACGACCTCCCTCCTTAACGTAACCAAGGGGCTTATTGCAACTATCAAACACGTGGTTGTTTT